CTCCATGCCTGGAAGTGCCCAAATCCAGGCTGGAGCTGAGGGTGCTTGGCCCTACCTGCCCTGCCTCTACTACGTCCATTCCTGGAGCCCCTCCTGGTAGAAATGGATTTTTTGGGTGGAAAAGGTCTGGTTGTAACTTCAGTCCAAGGGGAGGGATTGCAGTGACAGCATCTTGTAGCAGCAGCGTGAAATTTCTCGCCATTAACGCTGAAATAACTGAAAAAAAAATTAATTTCAGTGCTCTGGGAATTCCCAGGGAATCCGTGGTTGCTCCATGCCTGGAAGTGCCCAAATCCAGGCTGGAGCTGAGGGTGCTTGGCCCTACCTGCCCTGCCTCTACATCAATTCCTGGAGCCCCTCCTGGTAGAAATGGATTTTTTGGGTGGAAAGATCTGAAAGATTTGGGTTTTCCTTCAATGCAGAGGGGAGGGATTGCAGTGACAGCCTTTTGTAGTGGTAAAGAATGCTGTCCAAAGAAAAACAAAAATTTTGGTTGCACTTAATTCAGTTTTTGATGGCAATGCTCTGGGAATTCCCAGGAATCCATGACTGCTCCATGCCTGGAAGTGCCCAAATCCAGGCTGGACAGGGCTGGGAGCCCCTCCTGGTAGAAACCACATTTTTAGGTGGAAAATATATTTTTTTTCCCTAAATTTGGGGTGGTTTAACTCTGTGTTGCTCTTCCTTAGGTGGGATTTTCAGCGGCAGCACAAACCTCTGTGGCCACCAACACTGAAATAACCAAAAGAAGCCAAAAATTTTAATAACAATTAATTCAGTGTTTGATTGCAATGTTCTGGGAATTCCCAGGGAATCCGTGGCTGCTCCATGCCTGGAAGTGCCCAAATCCAGGCTGGAGCTGAGGGTGCTTGGCCCTACCTGCCCTGGGGAATCCCTGGAGCTCCTCCTGGTAAAAACTGCTTTTTTGGGATGAAAATCCCCAGTTTTTCCTTAATTTCAGAGCAGAGGGATTGGCAGTAGTGGCAGCTCAAAGTTTGATCCTCACTAACACTGAAATAACTAAAAATAAGCCAAACATTTTAATAACAATTAATTCAGTGTTTGATTGCAATGCTCTGAGAATTCCCAGGAATCCATGACTGCTCCATGCCTGGAAGTGCCCAAATCCAGGCTGGACAGGGCTTGGAGCCCCTCCTGGTAGAAACCACATTTTTAGGTGGAAAATATCATTTTTTCCCTAAATTTTGGGTGGATTAACTCTGTTCCTCTTCCTAGAGGAGATTGGGGCGGGATTTTCAGCGGCAGCACAAACCTCTGTGACCACCAACACTGAAATAACCAGAAAAAAAAACCAATCCAACGTTTTAATTCCACTTAATTCAGGGTTGGATGGCAACTCCCTGGGAATCCGCAGGGACTCGGGGCTGCCCCGTCCCTGGCAGTGCCACCCGGAGGTGGCCCGGGTGCCACCCGCGAGGGACAATGGGGCAGTGACAGACGAGCTTTGCATATCCGGGTGCTGGCAAAGCGGCAGCGGCTCCAGGGCTCCACCTAAAACTGTATTTTTCCAAGGGAAATCACCCCGGAATTCCATGGAATTCCCAGCGCTGGGTCACCACAACAGCAGCAGGAAGATCCCAACGGGTCGTTTTTAGGGGGAAAAAATCCCATTTGCGCTCGCAGAACAGCAAAAATGTAACATTTTAAAATCGAATTGCACTTAAAGTGTGACCAGTTCCATGGGAAAAGTGTGGGAATAAAGGCGATTTCCTTTATTATTTCCTTTTTACACTAGACATGAAGGAATATTTTCCGAAATATTTCCTGAATATTAATTGAAATATTTCCTGAATACTTCCTTCTATATTTCCTGGATGCTTCCTTAAATGAATTTGAATGGGTTTTCTCAGCTGGAAATGCATTTTGGCAGCTGGAGTGGCTCAGCAGAGCGAAAATCCACCGAGGTTCCTTCCCTGGGAAGCTCCGGGAATGTTCCTCTGATTCCTGCTCTTCCCACGAAAATCCCTCTTGGAGCAGGGAAACGCAGCCAACAAAGAACGGGAAGGAACTGCCCGGATTTTCCC